AAATGCCTAAATCTTACTAATATTATAAATGCGAAAGTTTAGATGGATGGATGGATGGATGGATGTTTGTTAGCGTTTATAGCCCAAACGGCTGAACGGATCTCCATGTAATTTGGCACAGGTTTAGAGCATAGTCTGGAAGAACACATAGGGTACTTTTTATCCCGGGAATAGTTACGATTCCTGTGGGATTCATTAATTCATTTTTTTAATGTTTACTCGATCATTCTGCAGCGGTTCAACATATCGTTTTGAAATTTGGCACAGATATAAAACAAAGTCTGGAATACACATGGGATGAGGTTCATCCCCGAGAAATGTCCGGTTCCCGAGGGATACGTAGTTTAGTTCGTATGTTTTCTAATACCGCGCGAACGAAGTCGCGGGCAACAGCTCGTATTAACATAACAATAAAAAATAGAATAGATTTTTAGTAACATTGTAACATGTTACTCCCATTAGAGATTCAACACAGCCTTAGTTTAAATTAATGTAATTCGATATTATCGCGTAATCCGAAACATTTACATCGCCACGTGTTGTGTCCAATTTAGACTAGATTACAGCCAACCGCGGCCTAATCTCAGCTCCGAGCTAACATGTCACTACATCCAACCAGTGCAAGGTACACGATAGTTCTATATTCTTGTTTATATACCACTTCGGGAAGATATCGAGGATATAGAAATTTATTTTCTATCTAAATATACGTAGAACATTATTTTTAGATAAAGTTTAACATTATTATAAATTTAAACAGTTTAAAAACTTACCCATAAAGCCTTTACTATATTAGAATATCTTAAAAAATCTTACCTGAAACAAGAATAGAACAAAATTAAAATTAGTAATTAGCAAAAAGAATAGCAAAATTCACATATTAAGAGTACCTACGCCTATTGTATAGAATTATATTTTATTATTATTGACCGATACATGACAAGTATACAAACAGACATGCGGAATGCCGACGGCGCCGCCCTCTACCGTCTGCCAATTGTCGGCATCTAGATCGCGTATGTCTCAATTAAATGTTCTGAAATACATCTGTATGGTAGAACTTAGTACATGCTTTAAACCTAACAGCATAGTGTACGATGTTATACAAGTCGATTACCAGAAGTTAGTTGGAGTTGTAAAGATCAAATACTAATTTCACTAGTGTAAAGTTGAGAACGGGCACACAACTGTTGTGCGATTGTCGATTGTTTTGCAGCCAATTCAACTGTTTAGTTGCATAATTAAACATTGAGTAGTGTGCAGACCTTCATATATACTTAGAGGAATCAAAGCGCGCCTAAACAGTTTCGGGATAGTTTAGTCAAAGGTGTGCGCGCTCTATATATGTCATTTTGACTTGACACACATCGACAGCAATAATTTTCTTTATCGTTGTTGTTAGATAACAAATTCAATAGGACAAATTTGCACTACGGCTCGAATTTCACCCGCAAACAGCAGAGCAAATGACCGGCTGGAATAAGCAGATAACAGTAAAACCAAAACAGAGCGTAAATCAACCTTTATGACGTCATAAAGCCGGTCCCATAAAACACTCGATTACAAGTAACGGAGCGGCCACAGCGCGGACAATGCACACTACCTATCGATATCTATTGCTTCTAATTTAATTACTATAAAACTTGTGAATATACCCTTAGATTTCTTTACAAAGCTGTATAAAACAATCTACTGGTTATACATTTCTACGGTTATTATCAAACATTTATGTTTTCTATTAAATTCGCTATGACTCGACAAATATTACCTTCGGGCATGTATCAATACATTATTAAAAGCATATAACATTTAACCAATGTAAATACAAACAAAAACGTATTTAATAAATGTAAGCAAACATCGGTCGGCTAACAAAAATGTTATTAATTTGCAAATTGGATCGCTTCGCAAACTGCAATGGATAGGTTACTAGCGGGTCGGCCGCGAGTCGAGCAAACATCATCTCACGTTAATGTTTAATTATGTGAATTCGGCTTTAACGGTAACCGCAATTTGATTGCGGTTATGCCGGTTAATTAATCTTACGGATACCTCAATTTCTGATCGACTTGACTCAAAATTCACTATACAAACTTTACACCAACATTTTTGCCTGCGAATGTCCATGAGATATTAAAAAAAAATATTAAGTACTATAGACTATATAACGCTATTCGAGACTGTAATGTTGAGAAAAAAATCGGTACTGCGCTAGAGTATCGGCTCAACACTAGATAATTTGCATACACGTCCCGTCCCTATTTGACATCTGTCAATGTCATTCAGACGTATCAGCGCGCCGCCATTCTGGCGGGAGTTAGTGGTATGAATGTTTAAATTAATCATGTTGTTACAATGTTAATGTATAAAAGTAATTATAATACTACGGTTTACACGTATTTGTATGCACACAAGTTCTGTTCCCTCGAAGAGTTCAAACCCTTGCGGTTGCGGACATGCTCTGTGACGTCACAAATACGTAACCGCAACCCGCCTGTGATGTAACCTTCTCAGATAGTTACGTGTTTTAGTTAATTCAATGATAGTTTTATAGTGAGGCTAAGTTCAGTTGTCGATAAAATATGCAAAATCTTTCTTTCGATTAAAAAATGATGTAACAAACTACCGATTACTAAAACGGTCACTTCGTTTCGTAAGCGCCGCTTACAATCTGTCAAACAGACAAATTAAAAAAAAATGTACGCCTTATCATTTAAAAAAAACAATCCCGCAAGGTCTATTCATACATGTCATTTAATGACACATGTGGCAACATAGGGGCGTGTATTCTAGTTAGTGCAGAGCGACGCTCGTCGTAATGTATGCGAGCGCACGCCCCCGTGTCCACGTGCGTCACCCTCCGCACTCGCTGTTTGCTCCATTCATTAACCCATACATTTTCATAACTCTAATGTAAATAGATATTTTTCACAGATAAAAACTCTCTGTATTTTAAATGTACTGTCTGTAATAGAAAATCTTTGTTTCTTGTACCTACTAAGAAAAGACATATTTGTCATAAATAACTTATCGGTTTGTTCCTAACGAGAAGTGGTAGTAGTGCAATGTGGGATGTTATTTATATCGATATCGATATATCGACGTTGTGGGTTGACAGTAAATTAAAAAGCATCTCGCTTCGTCCTGATCGTTACAATACTGCAACTTATTTGACTTAGTCGATAACAATTCGATTCAAGTTTTAAATTCCTAACTATAAAAAAAGAACTAAATTTACAGTAAGATAATAAAATAATAAACATTACTTGTATTATAACCAAGTTCCATCTGAAAATATAATACGATAAAATTTCAACGACACATCGATAACGTGCCGCACATCACTAACCAACTCTCGTCGCGAGTGGCAGCATAACGATCTCGATAACGAGCCCTGCATTGTTACCGACAACCGCCACCACTAGCTGCTACCAATGGAAAGCGATCGACGTGAACCTTGTGTTGCTTTAAAGCGCTTCTTTGCTCAACTCTACAACTGTTTTCATATTATAAAACAATAGACAAACGATATTGAATATTGTACCTCCTTGAGTTTAGAAGGGTATGTTAAAAGTGTTCAGCAAACAGTGATTTTTTTTAGTGTATAGCGTGTGAAAAAAGTCTTAATTTTATTTATGGAAACACCTCTACGGTCATCTTTTGTTGCTATCTTTGATTATATGAGTGTTAATAACTTCGACGTTTGTTACAAAAACACACTAATTTAATTTAACGCTGAATAATTTAATAGAGAATCAATAAAATATTCGTTTGAATCGCTGCGGCAGTATGAAATTCGTCTACAGGAGAACTATTTTAATTACAGCGTGTGGTCCGGCCCTGGCGCTGGCGAGAGAACATGTTCTGGTGTTCAACTATTTAATGAACTATCGTATTGGAAACTATATATACTTTTTAGTGTAAGCGGTGGTAAAAATTCAAATTCTAGAATCACTTTTACTACAAGATTTTAAAATCTATTATCTATATCGGTACTAAAATCCGTAAGTTTTTTCACAAGATATAATCGTCTACAATTAGTGTTACGGTGGTGAAAACAACAAATAGTTTATTAGTGCGTCATCCAATGCTGATTTAGTTCACTACGAAGAGCGGGCAGTCGTTTCAAACGCAGCATTGTACAACGATCACTATTGTGCGATCGCAGAGGGCGCGGAGGTTGTAATTTGAATCGTTGTGAATACAGGCCTACAATTTCCAAGACTAGGTTAACTCATGTTTGTTACTTCGGATTAAATCTATTGTGAACGCATATGTATCTAATAGGACATAGATGCAATTTTGATGCGAGGCATTCATTGCGCGGCAGGTATTCAGGTCGCGACGCGGGCGTGGTCGCCGCTCCTCAATGGATGGTAAAACCATTCAACTAACAATATCACTTCCTGCTTAACGCATTAAGTACTTAAAGCTCTTTCGAAGCTATTTCTTGTAATAGTGATTAAATCAATCATTTAGCAACAACGCCATCTGTTACCGGGGACCAGTAAACTCTACAAAGCAGTTATCCGTGCAGTGTGTCCCGAGCGCGCGATTAGTGCGACCAGTATTAATTGGTCATTGAAGGAACGCCATTATAAGCGCAGCCGGATGTCCGGATGAACAACGGGCGAGGCGCGGCCGCCGGCTGGAGCCGTGTTTACATTCATTAAAAGTAGGTATTAAGTTATGAAGGTGTTACATTTATATCTAAATTACCATTTGTTTTTATTGTATAGGTTTATACCTTTTTCTTATAGAAATTATTATTAAATTTCTTATAAGTAATGTTAAATATGTATAAAGGAAGATTCAGTACTTTTATTCAATTAAAGTTTCTTTGTAATTAGATGTAAAAATAGCCAAATCAGTATTTTTTTATGTTCTCTAATTTACCTTCTAGAATCCACTCCGGAATACTTAAAAATAGCTAGAGATTTTTGCCCTTTTTTTAATATGTTGTATGTGTGAAGTGTTTAGTATAATGTTGTCAAGGTTACCTGCACAGCGTCGTCTAGACAGCGCCCCCAGGCGTCGCTGCGGTCGACGAGCGAGTTCCACGTGTCAGCCAGCTTGCCCACCTCGCGCCGGATGGAGCGCGCCAGCTCGCGCGCCTGCTCCTCCGCGGACCGGTACCCGCGAGAGTCGCCCTCGCCCTCGCGACTCGCTGCACATATACACGTATACATTACAGTTAAAATAGTCTAGTTCTTCAATAATTAATGTTTATAACAGAAAACCATTGATTAAACGATGTTTTTAATATTAGAATTATACTGTTGAAGATTTCTACTATCATCAACCGACAAAGTTTTTGTGCACGAGTAAAGTAAAGAATTATTTTCTTATTGAATTCGACTTTGAAAAGATGAAAAATGAATAACAAGGCTCAAGATATACACAGCCGATTATAATCGTATGAAATATACGCTAACAAAAAACAGTACACAAAGTGTATATTTGCATGTAGGCAAACTTATGTCGGTGTTAGAATCAAAGGCAGCGTCTTGTGCAATATCTCTTTGTTCCCGGCGGCAAGTTGCGCGCCTCCGCGAAAAAGGCGGGAATTTAATAATTATCGCGTAACTTCCGCTTCGCAGCATCCTGCCTTGTAAAGCCTTCGCTCTGAGCCGTGTATGTATTTATGTAAGTTCGCTTTGAGGCGCAATAATGTGTTCACAATCTTGTATAACAATACTATTTTATTATTTCTTTGACATAAGCATCTTTAATTCTTAAAGACATATATATTATTTCTGTTTCTATCCAGACTTAAAATTACGCAATTTCTTGTTATTTAAATTCATAGTTATTTGTTAGCTTTACGAAAATAAATTATTTGAATTTGAACTTTTACAACGTTGGACAACCCTATTTTGATATATGATTTTTAAAACAAAAAAAGGATACTTTTCCACTCTATGCAAATAATTATTTTGATCCCTGCCATCACTCGAGATTTTTTTTAATTACGTTTCCAACGAGTAGGAATCATTACGCCAGCAGCAAGAGAAACGTATCGAAAATTAATAGAAGGACTTTTGATAGTGAAGTCGTGCGAACGGCTTGGGTCGGGCAACACGGGGCGCCCAGTCTGGTGTAGATATTCATATTTTTTAATGGTGACTAGTGTAAAAATAGTTTTTATTTCAGTGATTGAATTATGTAAACATCTCTGTTCTAAGTCTAGTCTCCTTTAAAAAAACTGTTTATCCTTGTTTTTTTTTATTATTCGACGTTTTGACAAGGAACCAGATTTAATATAGACAAAAAATTTCATCACGAATTTTCTTCGTGTTCGAAATTAAATACACTTTTTTCAAACGTAATTAAAAATTTTCCGGCAGCAAGTGAATGCAACTCAAGTCTTGTGCAAGATATTTTATTCGAATAGCTTATTCATTTTTTTCACGAGAATATCTTCTACATTCGTAAAAATCCAGTTTTGAATGTAAAGAATTTAATCTGCAAGTTGGGAATACCCAATGAAAATATCCAAATACCTCCCAAATTTTTTCTGCACATAAATGACAATTCAATAGAATCGTTACATTTTTCCCATTATGCACTGGCTGTGTGTTTATTACTAAACTAACTTTTGCCTACAACTCCGTCTGCGTGAATTAAAAAAAAAACAAAATCGAGTAGTCTATGTGTTCTCCCAGATTTTCCTCAACGTCTATGGTATATTTCATCGAGTTCCGTTCAACAGTTTAGGCTAGAAACTCTAACAAACATCCATCCATCAAATTTTTCGCATTTATAATAATGTTAGTAATAACTAAGATATATTTGTACACGAAATTATGTTATTTCCTACAAGCTACGAAAATCCGTAGCACCGTAGCAGTGTCTACGCTCCGCTATCGCTGAGTGATTGGTGTAGACGATACCATTACCTTGAGGCTGAAATCAGCCTTTACCAATTAGTGCTGCACCCTGCACTAATTGCAAAACGCCTCGCTGCAAGAATCACTCCTTTTGTGCTTTGATGCAAATACATACGTTTGCTTTACATACGCCTGTGATAGTTGAATGCACAAACAAGCAATAACCGATATCACGTTCCGAAGATTGGACAACGGAGATAATTTGAAATATTTAAACTATGTGAGTTAGCTCTAGTTTTATGTTTGAAGTTCAGTTACAGGACTTTTAATTACAAATGACGCAGTGCTGTGTCTTAGGATACTGACGTTCGCTGTCGCTGGCGTCTGCGAGCGGCTCCGCGGCGAGGTACTGGCGGCCGCTGAGCAGGTTGCTCTCCACCACTGGCCGCTTGTCTTCTAACTGCCGGCGGAACGCGCGGTGGTCGTCCTGCACATATACACACACATAAATATACAACAAACATTAAAATACTGTTAGAGAAATGTTCAGAAAGAGTTTCTGTGACAACTAAATATTTACATCATATTGTATTTGTATAATACAAAGATGCACTTGTTACATAAATAATAATAAAATATGGGATAGTATGCCAATAACAGAGATGTATAGTCATATTTCCATGATAAAAGAGTTCGCATATGCAAGAAAATAGGCAATAATGATGAGATATCGAAGGCCAGAATATTATCTCAGCTCTTGGCGCGTCCGACATCATAAATCGTGGAGATGGGTCGGCGGCCGTGAGAGTCGAGCGCGCCGCCGTGAGAGCCTACGCTGAAGCGATTGTTCACTTTATATCTCAATTTCAAACTTTTATGTAGATAGTGTTGCCGTAAAAAAACATAGTTTTATGTCTTAATTTCAATATATGCCTGGGGAATACATTTTATTAAACTGCTAGAAATTTTTTATTAACCTATCTTCCATAAACAGTTTAATTCCTTCCAACCTTCAATCAATAATTACCATCATCGTGTGAAAGAACCAATTGACAGGTAATGATCATTCTTTATTGACACATGAATCATTCAGTCATTCATTCTTCGTTACCTGTTGTTTGAGCAGTGCGGCGAGGTCCCCGCGCGGGGGCGCCAGTGCGGTCAGCTCGGTCTCCTTGCGGATGACCCACTCCGTCAACTCGCGTAGAGACAGCAGCAATGCGGACCAATGCTCAGCATTGCTCTCCAGGCGGTTCCTGAAGGAATAACACTTCATAATTAGAAAAAAACGAAGAATGGTGCATTGTTAGTAGATGCACAGGTAATACACATAAAGAAATATTCGTCAAACCCGCTGCAGACTCCCATTTATGTATAAAGCGGGCTTAAACACTTCCTATTACCCAATAACATAGGGAATTTCGTAAAAGCCATTTCTGAGGGCCTTTATCATAAACATTGTGACACGAGCAGAAACCTAGTCAAGTTATATTTCATTCATTCAATTATCTGAATTACTAGTAATAGAGGTATGAAAGATACATCAAATTAAATCTTGAACATTTAGATAACATCTAGTAGTACAATTACATGAGGCATGGAGATTGCGGACCCGTACTGATTGTGAACAGGGGGCGGGGGCTAGTGGAGAAGGGTAGGGGCGAGATTCAAAAACTTGGCGGCGGCGTGAAACTCACGGAATGCTTGCAATTGTTGAAATTTGGCCGCGGCTTTCCTACATAATATGTTTAAGCTGCTACTTTAGATAAAAATAGTGATGGGCACAAAATATATCGATAACATAGGAAAATAAAATTAAACATTATAATTAATTAATTCTTAACTCGTTATAGCCTTGAAATAAATACAGATAAAATGTTTTAAATTATGTCGTAAAGTACAAATATATAAAATAGAATATCTAGAATATGTGCAACCAAACTACAGATTCTTTAAACATGGATTATCGCAAGAATTATAATATCATTTTTCAAGGCAATCTCATACAAACAAAACATGCTTAAAATAAAATGTAAATATCGATATAAAAAACAAACAATACATCACTATACGAAATCTATAAATCGCTCTCTTTGCTTCAATTTGGCGCGGACTCATTCCGCCTCACACTTAAACAAAGTTAAATATGCAATCCCTAAACTTAAACCGTAATTGAATAAAGACGGAATAGCTCCAACTTTGTACAGTAACTTAATTCTAATTAACTTAATTTCATTAAACTTTGCAATTTAATAACTTTGCTTTGTTAAACAGTAGTAACGCCGAGATTAGAGGTTTTAAAACTCTCAAGTTGGACTCTGACTTTGGAAATTATAGACGCAGCGACTAAGTCTAAACTTTGATATTCACCGACTATATTATACTTTCGTAAGACTTAAAGCTTTTATATTTTCTTATCAAAACTTTAAATATAACTCTAATCTAAACATGCCGAGAACATTAAAAATTACAAGTAAGTTGTAACTTACATTTGCACTAAGCTGTAACTTATTGTCGAGGTCGCTCATTAAATCTAAGAATGAAATAAAACAAACAACCTTATCATCTCCCTTTCTTTATCTCACTTATCATATAAAGGACATTTATTTGCTAATATAAAGTGAGTAAAAGACGTCGATTTCAAAAAAGAAACCATTATATTCATGAAAATTTAGTCAGTCATTCATTTCAACTATTTATATACGACATATAACAATTCTTTTTTTAAAATTGACAACCCTAATAAAACATTAAATTAAGCAATCATATTCGAGTTCCACTGCGGTTTTCAGGGTAAATACAGTGCTGTACTGCGGTGTAGAACCCGTACCGTGCGGCATCTAACAAAGGTCTCACCTGCCCTTCGCAAGTTAAACATGTTGGCGAACAAACATGTACGAACATACTTAGTGTTTGTTCGACCTCTAGGGTTGCCACTTGTACACGTTTTAAAATTTTTAAAACAATAATTAAATTTTTCTGTTGGTATGTGATTCACAACCCTAATTCACTAAGTTTGGATTAAAAACTCATAAATTTTAATACCTGTCTGCTTTTAATGTACAATATTTTCGAGCACTTTTGTGTAGAAAAATGTTTAAATCATTTAAATATATGGACCGTGAGTGTGCATAAAATACTTTAAATATATTACGCACATAAAGTGATTTTATATGTAGGGCCATAAAACGAACGATAAAGATGTTTCGCAGCAAAATCGACATTTTATTTCACTATGAAATCACTAAACGCGCGTTTACTGCTCGCCGTATGCAGACCGCGGTTTGGGTTCGGGCCATAATTATAGCGGGAAAGAATTATTTTACGACACGAGAACGATAAGCGAATATTTCTGACATCATTATATTCATGAAAATTTAGTCATTGAAGGTCAAAAGTTTCATTACTGATTTTGCATTCTTTCAAATATAGATTGCGAATTGAAATTGTCCGTTCACACTTAAAATTGGGTTTTCGCCTTTGAGAATAATTCCGAAATTTTATGTGAGATAGGGAAATAAAAGATGTCTTTATGTTTACTATAGTATATGATATTAAGACACCCCTAAGGTGTGCAGGGGGAGGGGGTATTCTGCGGCTGTAAGGGGCCACTTTTATCTGCGCCGCATCTCGTGTCAACTGGCCAATAAAATCAGTTTTATGTTGCGGAACGTCTTTGTTAGTGTTTGAAATCGAATGTTTTGCTTCGTCGTCGTCGTTGTTTTTTATTCTTTTGCTAATTTATACACAATAAATAGTAGCAAATGTTATAAAAACCTTTAATGATTATAATAAAACTGTAAGTACATATTTTTAAACGTTGGATACAATTTATGTAGTACTTACGCGCAATCTTATCTCAAACATTTCACAAAATCCAAACAAAACTTGTACAACGACGACAAAGTACTGGAATTCATCTCGACTACAATCCGAAGAAGGCAAAACTTCCCCACATACTTTACCCCACGGAGCGCTCTCAAACACAGCAAATATTTTCCGAATAAACTCACATGAAATTTCATAGAAAATTTCACAAGTATGTTACGTACATCGGGATACTTAAGTCGGGTCTTTGGGGTATTCTGTATAGACATGAGGTTCGGCATTTCGACCGCGCCTCGGCTTTCAAAGGCTTTCAGATCGAGTGCAACTTTTGTCAGATTCCACAAGAGTTGCCACACAAGTTGTTTGATCTTCTGCCTCGGGGATATCTTATCGTCAGTATTTGCATAGTCGAGCTTCATTCGGAAATAGTTTTGGAATTCTGTGATTTCGTTACACCTTTACATTTCCAGATGGACTTCTCTCTCCTGTTAATACATACAAAACAAGTTTGTGTATTACATTTTCGATTTTAACAAGTCTAAATCTCGTTCCCTTGTAGTTTGTCTAAGTATAACAGCTGTATTTCTTATTAATAAAGGAAAATAAATTGTTCCGTCCATTTTATTAATAAACGGAGACTTGTGTAACGGCGTTATTAAGAAAGTGGAGCTTTAAACGTCTCTGAAGGATTTAAGAGCTTATAAGACGATAAAATACAATAAGCAATTTATTGTAGCGAAGTTGGAGAGCCGCACACGCCCGCTAAGGGTTAATTAATCATAGAATAAAAACATCGATGAATTAATTAAATGGGTGAAACATTAGAGCGGGCGCAGCGGGGCGTCACAAACTGAGCTCTATCACAGTGAGTTACGACTGCTTTCCGAACGATTAAACGCAAAAAGATTTATGACATGTCGTTACTGAAATGATTAATTTAGTTCGTGTGCCGTCCACGCGGACAGAGAACTAAGCGCTGCTGTTTTAGCGACATAAATGCTTTAAGCTTTAAGCTCAGACCCGTACATGTTAAAGTAAATTAAATTAAGTAACTCTGAATAACTATACTGGTGGCTATTTGCAGTTTATTACATACCTACTTAGAAATATTCGAAATAATTTCTCGTTACAGCTATAATCAAGGTTCTACAAGTCTGGTGGCTATCTCACTTTTCATAACTTATACCAACTCGCTTATTTCGTGGCCCGACTACTAAATGAAAATGCTTTGCTAAGTATGACGGTTACGAATAGGAAATGAAATTTCTGACGGCTATTTATCGAACTGTCAATTGTGCCTGGCGATTATTAATCGACTCATTTCAGGGTGTTAATTAAAATGGGCATAGCATTGCAAAGAGGGAGAGTAAGACAATTTCACATATAGATTTAGTTTTATTTTACGATGTTAATGTAAAAACTGTCTACTATAAACCATTTTTTTTTATTTCGTTAAATACATTTAAGAAATAAAGTTAGTTAGCAATGCAGTTCACTGTACTATTACTTATTTGCGTCACAGACTAAGTAGTAAATGAATTAACTAACCAGTTAGCATGACTAATGATTAGTTATAAATTAATGGGAAGAATTCCATCTGCTACGTAGCGAATCATACGAAGGCGGAACAGTAAGGCAGTGCAGTACAAAATGGAGTACAGCTACAGAACTGCGGCATGCATTAAAACAGTAATGCATTGTCTACTGCTCTGCTACACTGTTCTGTCCTCGTGTAAAAGCTAGAATAATCCCCGTTCAGCCATCAATTAGCCGCAACAAAGCCAACAGGGCCCGCGTCTGATTGTCAATGTATATGATAATGCGGCTAAATTGGGACGTGCTGTGTGTTGTATTGATCGCCTCACCTCGCACTGTACACCTAAATACGACTGATTACATCTGATCGAGAATGATCTGATTAACAATCTCTAATCTATTGTAATTAAAAGATCTGTCTCATGTTTTATTTTTAAATAAAAAAATTAAAATCATAACAAAACACTGGCATGAACTAGTTGTCGTAGTTTTTTTTATAACACTTGTTCAAACACCAACATGTTCGTTAAATGAAAAACAAAATTCTACAACCCACGTGAAGTGGAACAAATAAAATAAAACTTAACATTTTTCCATAAATAAATAAGGGGCTTCAATAAAATGCGACAACAAATTAAAAATAAAAAACAATGCATGCAAAACTATTTGTAAAACTATGAATCTTATTACATCGTAGTAAGGTTAAATGTTGCGAACGCAACATGTTTCAGGCGAATGTGCGTCAAAATGAAACGCAAATACAAAAGTCCCTCGTTAATATTCATACGCCAAAAAAATGTATGACGAGCGGTGATTTAAGCGAAACATTTTTAACACGGCTGCGACGTGAATAGCAACCCTTACTCGCTACGCATGTAAGGGTTCTGACACACTAGTGTAACACGATAAACTAGCCCCAAAGGTAAAAAAAATCTGCTGCACTCGGAGACATTAAATGTTTGTTTAATAATGCTACATAGGTCTCATTTAGCGACCGATAAGACTGAATTGATATGAAAGAACTTTATTGTTTTATAGTGAGAAATGTATTTGACTAAAATGTACGCGGACATATTTGTACCGTACTAAATTGATATACAGGTCGATATAGAGAGAGTTTTATGTCTAATGTAAAATAAGCTTTATAAGTAAATCCGACGTTCGGTGCCATTTTCCCGCGCTCAACGCCGATCTGTCATTTCGAATGTAACGTTTGTAAATGCGTTCGGAAACGCGTTGCTCTGTTACACGCATTACGCTGAAAATCATTTTTTGTTCTTTTCGATTTATCTTAAAATGTCGCTCTCGTTGCAGTATTCATTTTTTGTGGTAACAATTTAAAACCATCGTAACAAATATAAAATAGAAGTGAATAAATATACGTTACAAGTAGTTTATAGAATCTTAGCGTGTATTACCTGATGGCCATGCTCTTCGCCTTGAGGTGGTGCCAGCGCTGGTTCATCTCGTCCAGCCGGCGCTGCAGCATGACGGCGTCCTCCTGCGAGGACAACGAGCCCAGCAGCCGGCGGCCTGTGCCCGTAAGCGACGCGTACACATCGCGGTGAGTCTCGATCTCTGACTGCAAGTCCTGAAACAAAAGTAACACTATTATTGCTACTATTAGGAAAATATTGCCGATGGCTTTATGAATGGCAGAAGAGTGTGGGTCTCGGTCGGTATAAGTAGAATGGGAAGTAACTTTTAACTTAGGCTACCGTTAGTAAATACGCATCTACCACTCTCCTACAATACAAAGGTCAAATAGATATCACGATGCGACATACGAAGAAGCACAATAAGGCCGACGAAACTTCAGCGGCATTGTGTGGGGGCGCGTTATACGAGCAATACAAGCAGTGTATGTTTATTACACGATAGAAAAAAATATGCCAGCGCCTGACACAAACTCGACAGGTTGACAGACTGGCAGGCGATGAAACGCACAAAGTATTCATCCCCTACCGGTTTACTGACGAAAATTGTAGCGAATTTCCAAAGAAAGTAGCAATTTCATTGGCCTAGTGTTTCATGTTCTGAATGCATTTTAGTATTAGAAATTACTTGAAATCTCTACTTTATGTGATTTAATAACCTTCAGCAGCAGGACACAAAATTGTTATGTAAAAATTCAGAAAAAAATATGTCATTGATAAAAATCGCTCACATACTCGTAACAGGCAGAAAAACCGTGCCTTTGTGACGGGCGGTTGAAATATTAAAGTTTCACACGGGCGGTGACTGGGCGGTCGCGCGCCCGTGTTGCGTTTTATAATTGATCCATTTACACTGTGTTTATTTTCAATACCTGACTACTATAGAGTTCACGTAGCGAGAAATACATTAATGAATTACATAAAAGATAAAGTGATTTACAAATTAAACAACAGAAAGCTTAACATTATTCATTAGAACATAGCATGAATTAACGTGATATCATTAAGCAGTCCATTGTCATCGATCAGCTCGTTGTGATTTCGGCGCACTTCATTATTATTGGCCAGACGTCGATTTATCTCGCACCTCGAACACAGATTTATTGTGAGGAGCACCTGCTTATAATTCATCCCTTATTTATTCCATAGAGTAACAATTCTATAGATTATTCCATAATACTTGTAGTATTGCACAATAAATTTAATTGTCGTTAAACACAAGTCAACTAAGTAACAATTTTAGTTGGAAATACTAAAGTAGTATTTGTGTCCTATCATTGATTATGTAAGGAAATATTTAGAAGGTCCACTCTATAATTGATTTGAAGAATAAGTCTTTGATATATTCCGCTCCACGATTCTTAATATTCACTGTTTGACTTTGGCCAGATCTTTTAAGTTTTTGATGAGTTCTATTTGAATCTTTTGCAAACGATCTTTATTGACTTTAAAAGGGATCCTTAGAGTAAATACAAAGCCTAATTTAACGTTGATTTATTCGTTTTACTTTTCTATTTATCTTGCTGCTGATTTTACACAATTTAAAAAGCTATACAATTTGTATTATAGTAACATTTAGTCGAAAAAAATATTTTACAAAAATACAGCAACCTTCCCTCGACTCTTGTCACATTAAGAGCGCGCGCACACCTTTTACTAAACTATCGCACAACTATTTAGTCGCGCTTTGATTCCTATGAGCTTATATGGAGGTGCGCATACCACTCGATTTTTAGTTGTGCAACTAAACAATTGAATTGGTTGCAAAACAATCGACAATCGCACGACAATTGTACGATAGTTTAGTCAAATGTGTATGACCGTTATAAGTTAGTAAGATTAAACATTCCTGAGTGCACATTATTTCGAAGCAATCTAGTTGTTTATAACTTTTTTAATAAAGCCTCTTTTTCGCTAATCATCTTTTCTTCCTCGTAAACTTTAGTCGTGCAAAGTTTCGAGTAATATTTTAGAGCTTACGCTAAGCCCGCGACCGCAACAAAGCGCCCCCACTTGTCTCTGCGGAGTTAAAACTCAAATGTTTTAGGATTAAAGTTTTTATTTGCGTTGATATCTAGTGTTCTCCGCATTGAAGCTCAAAGTGGACTTTACTTTTATTTAGAGTAGAGCACTGCTTACTTACTTGTTAGATAGTTTTTAATATTTACTATACCGAAAAATGCCTCAAACTATTCTATTACCACGACCAAATCGAAGCATCGTCCGACATAAATGTAAATTCCCCAAAATAAAGAAAGGATTTTAAAATGAATTGTACCAAATTATGTGGGATATTAATGTAGTGCAGCAAATATGAAAAATTAGTTAGAATTTTAATCATGGCATGTCTGGGATTGTTCGAGATTAATCTTAATCGAATTAGTTGTCGGTTGTTGACGGTCAAAGACAGACAGTTTGCTTTAAAGGCGGTTGAAATTAACCGGTGGAATTTGTCAACCGGCTGAAGAGGATCGTGGCGCGGTCGGAATCGCTAATGAACCGGTTCCAGCCGGATAGCACCGGTTTCAACCGGACCGGGATAGAACGTCGCCGTTTCGGCGCGAAAAGTGACTTAATTTTATCATTGCCATGTCAACGTGGAAGTGGGTACGATTCGTACGTGTTTGAGATAGAGGCCACGTTTGAATTCTGATTATATCAAGAAAACCTTGTTACGTGAATTATGGTGCGACCAGCTTTCGCTGCGACTTCGTCTGCGTAGTATTAAAAAAAAAACAAAAGTAAGTAGCCTATGCCTACCAAGTTTCATCGAAATCCGTTAAGCCGTTTAGGCTACTAACTTTGACAAAATCCATCAATCCATCCATCTAAACTTTCGCATTTATAGTATGATTTTTTGGATCATTAAACATTACCTGTCTTTACACCCTGTTATTTTTTTACATCCAGATAATTAAATACACTACTGTCGTAAACAAATACTGCTATGTGTTCTGTAGAATACATGAAAATACATCTGTTGCACTGGACGGCACTTCACCATGTTCAAAACCGAACAACACAACAAAACAACGCCGCATATAGAAATCCTTTAGTAATGAGTTCGATTCAATATCGCTGTCAAGTTGATTGAGATAGTGGGGGCCCGCGAACCCCCCTGGTCTCCGAGCTTTCGCTTAATCATCTTTCATTATTTCCGCACAAAGCGAAAGGCTTCGACATGACGTCACAAAGGGCAGCACTCGACGCCACCTACTCCTGCACTTCGATTCTGTTTTTATACGATTCCTTTGTAAAGAACTTCGATTGACGCAAGAAATCTTGTCATTATTAATTTAATGATATATATGGGTCAAATAATTGTTGATTCGTAAAATATAAAACCGTGACATCAACTAAAGTTTCGTTTACTTATATTTTGGTTAATAACCTTATCTATTTCTATTATGTAGTGCGCTTGTTGTCTAGGGATATTCGAGTAATGCTGTCGTGGCTCTCGAATGTTCGTGTTTGAGTAATTATGTTCGGCTGCAGCCAAGCTGTTATACCATTCCCTAAGGCATCTTATAGCAACAAAGATAATGAACAAGAACATTTAAATTGTTCAGCTGCGTATTGCATACACAATCTGAGCATTAAATTTTTCTCTTACTATTAATACTAATTACCTCATTTTTCATACAAAGTCGCCACATTTTAATTATTATAATGGTAAATTATTATAATAAATGCTGCACTGCGGATTAACAATCTTATTTCCCACTAAAGACCGAATTACAAACATTACACTAAAATACGGAATTATTGCAGACTGTCATAATATAGACCGTGTTTGTGCAGCAGTATGAGCAATACAAGCCGCTTACTCGTTGCAGAACCAATCCCTTTTGAATTATAGCGGTTGTGCAACTGCGACATATCGACGTCTTTGATTCAAATACAAAGCAGAGCGAGGATTATCTTGAAGAATAGGCCATGGAAAACATTTTGTAACAAAGCTAAGTAAATTTTAATATTATCTAAATCAGAATAACATAAGTAAAAATTCGACATAAGCCGCAGTGAATAAATCAACTTGCAAACGGCTGCAGAACCGTATCAGACGGGTAATCCCCCGCCTGGTAACCGGGTTGTAACGGGATTTAACCGGATATATCCGGATATACCCGGGCCGGGCACCTGCGATAACGACCGGTGTCGCGGTCGCCGCTCGCACCGCCGCCGACTTGTACTTTGTTCAATGCTGTTTTTGCGGCTTTGTCTTACAATCCATGTGAGGTACTATGTTTGCATTTGTAAAATAACTGTTTACAACATTATACCATTAAATTATTCGGTTTCAGTTTAAATCAAGTCAGTTAACACTTCACAAGGTAATAAATTATCATAGAACAATACGTTCATTAATAGTATATCATATCGATTTCAAATAATCAATTGAATTGTATCTCGCGACTGCAGAACTAATTAAGCCATGTCGCAGCTAGACAGAGTTAATACAAAAAATCGTCTCCGTAGTGAAATCGACTAATTGGATTTTAAAATCCAAAACAATATGGCATAATTTTCCCCGTTTGAAAAGCCTGTTCAGTATTCAAGAGAAGCGTTCGCAAGAAGCGCTATATCGAGAGGCACGTTTACCCGGGTCCCGACGTGACGCCGCGCCGTCGTGCCGTGAACCGGGCGAACCGTTCCAAACCGGTTCATAATAGAGCGGAGCGAAAAGCTGTTGTATCGCTCCCGCTGTACATCCGGCTCGCTTTGAAATCTATTTTCCAGCTTTCATATTTTTCAATCTCAAAATATTTATTCTGTATTGAATACGCTACGTATTCTTGTCATAGAAAAGTTTCACTGGGAAAGAATTTTAGAAACATACAGAATCAAAAAGTTTATTACGATATTTATTTAAGACAATCTTTCTTTTACAGCAATTAAATTGTATTCGTCTTTAATATTAGGAGTCCTTTTAGGTGTGATTATGCAGTGAACTATATTTAATAATTAACTATAAATTGAAAATTACGTCATGAACCCGGTCGGCAGACACATTCATCTTGCAGTGTCCAGCGCCGGGCGGGGAGTCCGTAACGAATCGATTTTCATATCATAATTCAGTCCCAAGCCAAGGAAGTTTCACTGTTACGTTTATAATTGAACCATAAAATTTTAAGAGAGACGAAACTTATCTTCA